ACACTTAATTATTTTAATTATATTCATCCAGTAAGATATTGGATCGAATACGCATAACTGGGAATTATGAAATACTGATAATATCCATTGATAACTTTTCGTTTGGTAAGACAGCTAAGAAGTATTGCGCTACATTTAAATTTTAGCCATGTATGTTTATTAAAACATATTGTTGGTATTTAGGACAGCCAAGCTCAGACAGGACCAGTTGATGCCGTCTTAAGTTGAGATTCTACAGTTCAAGACATAATGCTTAGCTGTCTAGTACTTTGTTGGGCAGTAAGACGTTTGGGTATTGGCCACACAAACCACATAATGTATGCATCTTACTCGAGTACACGTGACTGGTGCATATTGCAAAATGAAAAATGTGGTTTATAGGTAGGTATGCGTTTTCAGTAGGTATGGTAACGAGTGCTACTTAGACGGAATTTCATCGTCGATTGCTGGTATATAGTTTTCTTTTGGGATTTAATCCATATATTTAATTCCGTAAGCGAATCACTCTCGAGCTTGGAAAAAGGTATCATGGCTGTTGAGTATTCCTTTTAAAGCTTAAGGTCCAAGGACGGTGAGAAAAATATCAAAAGTGTCAAAAATACCCCTACTCTACACCACTGGGGTCAAAGTTCCAGTCATTTTTAAATTAAAGTAATGCTACAGTGTTTCTATAAGCTGTTTTAAACATTTTATACCAGCGGATGTAAACATTGGGTATTTGTTTGTTTATTGATTTTAGTGTTCTGTTTTTAGGTTAGAATGGCAATACAGTGTTGAAATGTATCGTGTTAGGGGAAGACCCCAACTAAGACGGAGTTTTTTTAGGAATGGTGCACAGCATAGGGAATGGTTAAGGCCAAATTACAACAGAGGCGAAGTTCAGCAATTGCTGCTGTGGGCCCCTAGTTGCATTTCATTGCTTCGTAAGCTAACATAATAGAGATCAATTAGTTTAAATACAGGCAATTTGTTATTATAATTACAAATACATCGGTTAATATTCACAAAGGGGATCTCCATCCTAATGATAAAATATAGATAACAAACTACTACTGCCCTACTCGTACGTTGAAGTCTATTAAACGTTCATCCCAATTACTGTTGCCTACTTGAACTATTTTGAGCACTTAACCGTTTCATGATATAGATACTTAGATAGACTAACAAAAAGATCATTAGCTTTATCCCACTTTTATAACACTCTTATGATTACCGGTAGTCGGTAGTAACATAACAAATGCCTTTACTTTATGAGTACAGTAAATCGCTTGGTTATGTAATAGCCAAATGCATTAACCACGACGACATTAATGGATTATGTTAAATGCACCAGTGTCATAGCACCTACTTAATAAAGATAATTTACAATTGTTATATAATAGTAATAAAATAACTCATTGAGTAGGTTCACAGACTAGCCCGATGTATCCATAACCACGGGATAATCGTTTGTAAGGGTATTTTGACTGTAAAAGGAGAGTTTTTGTCAATGGTACGTGAAAAACTCAAATGAGTTCAATATTATAATACATTGGTATATTATATTTTACTATATTTAGTAGCCGAAATATATATTTATATATATTAATAGAAAACTAATAAACCATAGTGCTATTTTTAAAATTATTTTTAATGACTAATGCAAAAAACAGATGTTAAACTCCCTCGCTTACAAGAAATATCTGGAATTGGCTAATACGCTGCATCCTGCCCAGTTAGAGCAGACGTTACAGTCTATTGAATCAAGCATCACCCAAATCATTAAAAAAAAAAAACACACTCAAAAGAAAAAACTTACACGTCTAATAAATAGTCATCACTCTAAAGAAACTGCACTTTTATTCGACTTTGAATTCTTCCCAAGAGTTGTTAATAACTCAGATATAGTTTTTAATGACAAAGAAATCAAATTATTAGAGAAAGGTTTAAGCTACAACCTCCCAAGAAGGGGTAAGAATGCACTTTTCAATGAGTTAATTAATGCTAAGTGCGCCATTAAATCTATACCTGACGAAGATGATAAAAACCTTGCACGTCTAACCATGTCTAAAAAACTCAAGAGAGCATTTAATAATGAATTATCTAATAACGGCAATAACCAATCGCATATACATAAAGAAGAACTCATAGTTTTAAAGAATTTTAAACAAAAACTGGTAACTAATGAGGCTATCCTATGTAAAGCCGATAAAGGTAACACCACCGTGATACTACGCAAAAGTGATTATAATGATAAAGTCAATGAGTTTTTCAATAAAAATAATATTGCACATATAAATAAAGATCCCACTAAAACCTACCAGAGGAGGATAAAGAAATTAATAAACGATTCCAAAACTATCTTTTCTCAGGATGAAACAAAATATTTAAAGGTAATGAACCCCTCAGCTCCAGTTTTTAGGGGCCTTCCCAAAGTGCATAAAGAAGGCATTCCTATCAGACCCTTAGTAGATTTTACTCCAGCACCTACCTATAAAGTAGCAAAAAAACTAGAGAAGATACTACGAGAAAACATAACTCTAACCAACAATTACAGCCTGAAGAATTCCTATGAGTTTATTAATAAAACCAAAGATTTAAATATTCAAATGCATCACACGCTCGCATCCTTCGATGTAGTTAACCTGTACGCAAATGTTCCCATTGATAAAGTACTGGAAATAGTTCAAAAACACCTAACCGATAGCCAAACAATGTTATCAGAATCTGCTGACGAAATTATGGCACTGCTAACTGAGGTTTTAAAACAAAACTATTTTACTTTTAATGGCGAGTTCTACTCTCAACCGGATGGTCTCGCTATGGGCTCTCCGTTATCTGGAATACTTTCTTATATTTATCTGAACCACATAGAAAACAATTTCATTTTCTCCGATTCCAATAAATATAGAAACAGGATCAATCTTTACAATCGTTATGTTGACGACACCATTATGTTATTTAATGGCAACAATCGACAACTGAATCTGTTACTAAACTATTTAAACAACATTGCACCCAAATTACAGTTCACAATATAAACCGAAACCAACAATAAAATAAATTTTCTAGACATGACCATTGAAAAGAGAGATAGTAAACTTAGCTTCAGTATTTACAGAAAACCTACTACGTCAAACCAAACAATACATGCCACGTCATACCATCCTATATCACATAAACTCGCCGCTTACAATAGCCTAGTATACAGGTTACTTCAATTCCCGCTCTCAGCCAAAGACTACCAGAAAGAATTAAATATAATTAAGCACATAGCTATCTCCAATGGTTACAAACAGAGCATAATAGATAAATTGGTAAAAAAATTAAAAACCAAACCAAAAGCTCCTGTACTAGGGCTAAATGAACCTGAGATGAAATACATCTGCATAGAATACAGCCACTTAGCTCAGAATAGACTCAACAAAGTTTTAAGGAAACACGGGCTTCAATTAACATTTAGAACTACCAATAAAACCAAACAAGCTTTAACAAAAAAAATGTTGTTGAAAACAAGCTAGACAAGTCTGGAGTTTATAAATTGAAGTGTATGGATTGTCCGGATTTTTATATTGGACAAACAGGCAGATCCTTTACTCAACGACACAAGGAACATCGCCCCGACCCCAGAGCAGACAAACAAAAATCCACTTTTGCCCAGCATTTATTAGATAAAAATCACACCATAAATACAATTGACAATAGCCTGGAAATTCTCCATGTTTGTAATAAAGGAAATAAATTGGATTCTCTAGAACAGTTTGAAATTTACAAAAGCTTCCAAGACAGCCACAATAAAAACCATATTTTAAATGACCAGTTAAATTTCAAATCACACTCTATCTTCAATGCCATAATAGCTTTCAACAATAGACAAGAACAGTTTGACCTTTGTAGTACAACTACTGATAACGGAGGAGGGGTCGGTGTTACATAATTCCAGCATGTTCAGTCTGCCTCCGTACCGCGACCGGTAATAGTAGGCCTACTAATTAATTGTTAAATGTTTTCGTGCGTAATGTGTGTGTATTTATTTAAATGTTTCTTGACGACCCCATCATGGATGAAGACAAAGCATTCTTGCTAGGATATCACCTGACGATGCCTGAATAGGCGAAACATGTAGTGAGTTCCACTTACGACAATTGAACTGTTGACGTAAAGGTATGTGCCTCATATTAGTCTAATGCATTTCAACTATTAGGTCATGCTAACAGTATCAATATTATTTATTTTATTTATATGCAACATTTTTGTTTTTATTTTGCTATATAATTATGATTTAAATGCTTTCAGATGCCAGTTATTTATTGCTATATATTTTTCTTAAATACATAATTAAAATTATTTGGTTATTCGTTTGTTTTGTTATAAGTTTTACATACTATAATATTTTGAATTTGTTAAAACAAAACAAGGGTTTTGTGCCTGTCGTATCATTGTGCTTGTATTTACAAAACTTCAATAAATTAAACTCAAATTAGCCTAGCTTATACATTTGCTGCTTGGGGACAATAGTATTTAGTCGTTCAAATCAAAGTACCTCGTAAATAAACTAATCAAAATGATTTATTGGACATATAGGTTGTATGGCTACTATTTACAATTTAATTATCTTTAACCACTGTAAAAGTGTGATACATAAAAACATGCTATTAACCTACTAATGGAGCAGATTTAGTTCAAAGCTCACATATACGTAATACGGTTTATTATAATAGTCGCATTTCGCAAAAAGACACTGACCGAGATAACTTGAGAGTGTAAAACGATATGTCCTTAAAAGTCATAAACAGAATTCAGTTGTTTTATGAACTATCTAGCTAATTACCAAAGTCTTTATTGCCAGAGTAAACGGTTAGAAAGGAATGTTTATGGGTATCCAAGTCAAATACCAGTGCACAGTCCGAGTGGACAATCACATGCACGATACGGTGAACGGCGATGTTGCAAGGCGGTGCGTAGGAGGAGGAGCATCAGCTGGTATATAATCAGCTGGGAGCCCTACCAGAGACAGTACAGTGCACAACAGCTGAAGCGGGATGAACTGGGTAAGATCACCTGATATCATTACGTCATCAACATTGTTGTTTCTAACCATTCATTAGCTACCAACTAATTATGGCGTTACCAAACTCTGGGAATGGTTTCTGCGCTAGGTTTCGTTTCACCTTAATTGGTCGCTGTAACAGTATTTGTTAATTTGGTTTCAGATTATATTTATTTTAAACATTATTAGTATTATAGAACATTACTACTATAATATGTAAAATATGTTAAATATTACTACAAATATTATATACTGAATTTAATACAAGGGTATACATTTTCGATTTATAAAGAACTAAAAGCTAAAAGTTATAATATATACGATCCTTCGGGTTTTAGTGTAGGCTCTTGCACATTTGCATGAAATATTAACGCTTATGTTTAAGTATTTTTAGTAAATTAATTTTACGTAGTCATTACTAGGGATATAAAATTAGGATTATTTAAGAATGCATCTTAACCGTAAAGGACTATTGGCGAAGAAACTGCAGGCAGTAAAATAAAATTAGGGATGATAATCAAAAAAGATAAACATAAGTTTGCGTTGAATTCAAAGCTAGCCTACCACTCTGACTCAGTGATGTTATTTTACAGATCATAGTAATACTGTCAACGACATGTGCCGCGGCACTGGCTGCACCGCAGTACACAGGGGTGCCAACCCATCGTCAACATGCCGCCGCCCCCGCCGCTTACCGTAGTGCCGCCCCCAGCTACCAGGGGCCGCCCGTCGTACCTGTCATCCTGCCCGGAGGGTTCATTGCAGATACAGAGGAAGTTGCCCGAGCAAAGGAGTTGCATTTTAACGCTTTTGCCAACGCCGCTACTCAAGTTAAGGACACCAAGTACCAGCCCTCCTACACCCAGGATGTGCAGCCCAGGTAAGGTTATCGAATTCATTTAATTCATACCTCTTTCCTTATCGTTTGGTTTCAGAGGGTGTAATCATTTAAGGTCCTGGAATGAAAATTCAGGATTTAAAACTAAGTACTGTTTGAAATGTTTATGAAGCTGATTCTTAGTTTTGGTGTTATTAATAAAACTACTTTTTCCTTCTAACTTTTGATAATTATTGTTCTTGTAGATATTAGCCTAGAAACCTATTTATTATCAATATTTTTACCTTTTTGGTAGCCTAAGGTGTCCAAAATTTTTATCTCCTGCGAGACGCGTTTCGTATTAATTACAATGCATCTTCAGTCGCTGTCACAGGTCTCAACATTGCCCACAGAAGTGGTTGTCACAATTTACAAAACATATTAACACGAAACGTTAATATGTTTTGTAAATTGTGACAACCACTTCTGTGGGCAATGTTGAGACCTGTGACAGCGAGTGAAGATGCATTGTAATTAATGCGAAACGCGTCTCGCAGGAGATAAAAATTTTAGACACCTTAGGCTACCAAAAAGGTAAAAATATTGATAGTTATTGTTCATCCTCTGTTGTCCTAAACATATCCCAAAAGGCATTTGTGGAAATAAACTTAAACATTATTTAAATCAATGTAGCCTAATATTTTCCAATAAAGAATACTGGGAAGGGAGACAAATGTAAGCTTACATGTGATATTATGCAGTAGTAATTTATATAAGTAGTTGAGATATTGAACAATTGAGATGTGTTCAAAATTCACATATCTATGCACGGTTCAAAGTTGAGTTTTAAAATGTTGTTGTCTAGGTACACAGCAGCAGTTCAGAAGCCACTTTACACCCCAGCCCCAGCTCCAGTAGCTCGTCAGCAGAACTACAACGTCCCCCAGCACCGCTACACCGGACCTGTAGCTACTACCAGCGGCTATACGCCATCTCCAGTCTACCAGCAGCAGCAGCCCCGCTACCAGGGGCCTCCCGTGGTCCCCGTCGTGCTGCCCAACGGCTACATCGCCGAGACAGCTGACGTGGAGGCTGCTAAGGAACACCACTTCCAGCTGTACGCTGCAGCCCAGGCGGCAGCGGCGAGGGCCCAGGAGCGAGCCGGGGCTAACAAATACGGCTACACCGCGGCGGCTCCTGCGGCCTCCTACACGTACAACGATGAGGATGACGGTGGTCAGTACGAGGAGCAGGACCAAAGGTAGGCCACGAGATGTCAAAGTAATAATAACGTTGATTTTACCTCCCAACAATCCCTATAAAAAAGGCTAGCTAGTACTATAGTTAGTTGAGATCTTTGCTCCGTTAAGAATGTCTTTCGATCCAAGACTTTTATATGAAATAATTAAGTTAATTTACACTAAAAATTCAATAGAATTGAATTAAACCATATCATAATAAATATATTGTAATTTGATCTTTTGTCTAGTGGTAAATGTGCTTCGAAAATATCACCCAAAGTAACGCTTGCAATAAAAAAATAATAATTTTTTACAGTTTCAAACACAACCACGCTGAAACTTGCTTTGAATATTAGAAATCGATAATAACATTAAGTGTGTGATTAGATTTATTACAAATAGGCCTACTTAAGCCTATCTACAGCTAACTCGGGCCTCGAAATTCATTGTTCTAACTGTAATATGAATTGTTTGCAATTTCAAAATAAACAGAATTAGTTTACCAAAAGAATTGTGGTATCTAGATTATCTTCTAATGAGCTATAGAAAAACAGAATATTAGGCAATACCTGTATAACTAATGTAAGCTATAAACTCGGCAACTAAATATACATACACATCCTTTTGCTATTATAAAACCATCATGCCACTAAGATAGTAGAAGAGCACACAAACATCCTTGTATACTAAGTAACCGCAGCCACAGATGCGTATCACAATCCTCTAACATTCCACATGTGTAGGTACAACCAGGTGTACCAGCCCGCGGCTCACCAGAAGGCAGCGTACCGGGGACCTCCTGTAGTGCCTGTGGTGCTGCCCTCTGGTCACATTGCTGACACAGCGGAGGTTGCTGCAGCTAAGATCTCTCACCTGCAGCAGCTGCTGGATGCTGCACAGAAGTCACTACCTCAGCAACGATACAGATAAACCAACCGAACATCAGTCATCGCTTAGTCAGTAGTCTCCGACTAGTATACAGTAGGCTTTGTATCCACACAAGCAGTTGCCCTTGTATAAAACATGTTAAGTATTAAGGTATACGAGGATCACGTAAAGACTTTGTAAATATTTTATTGCTTTAATTATGTTATAATGACCTATTTGATTTATTTATAGCCTCGTACTTTTTTGTGTAGATTTCAAATACACTTATTATACTATTACAATCTGTGATACGCTTTGTGTAAATAAATAGCTATTTCATAAGAAAATCGTGATAATAATTCAATCCTTTTATCTACTGGGAAAATATTCTCTATTTTTATGAGATATCTTGTATTAAATGTCTTTCTTTATTTTATATTATTGTATCAAATCAAGACACCTTATAGAAAATGATTATTCATGTTGTATGGTGTAACTAAGTAAGAAAAATAATATGAGTTTGTAATATGGGTCAAAAGAAAACATAAACCAAGATCACGTGCGAAAAAAAATCTTTGATAAAAAATATCCACCAATTTTATTTCATGTGTTCAAAATGTACATATTTGATACCATTAAAAAAGATTTTGGAGATTTTGTCTCCATCTTAATCAGGAGACAGTTTATAGAAGTCTAGCAATAGATTATTTTAAAAAATAATTGCAAAAATCATTTAGTTTTGAAATAATATAATGGCATTTTTATTTATCATTTAAAATGTACTAGGATTTTACAACAAGATAAAAAGAATTGAATACAGTTAAAAATAGTGTAAAATTGCGATTTTTCAGCTGATATATATTTTTGGGAAAATGGTTTCATTGATTTTTATTTTGTTTGAACCATTAAACATATACCAAAATTGTTTGTACTTATTTACAGGACATCTAGTTATTAGGGGAATAAAATGTATTGTTAGACTAACTATTAACAATAACGGTTTTCATTGATTAAATAACAGTATATAAATCGTAGCCTACTAACTGTACTTTTTATGCTATATTTAGCACACTTATAACCAAATATTGAAGGTAAAATAGAAATAATAACAGATTGAAAAAAAAATAGTATAACCGCTTTTATTAAAAGCAACATGCAGATTGAAACTATTTACAATCTCAAATAATGACAGATTCATCAATTGTATACGATATGTGACTAAAATTACGTCAACATTTACAAACGGTCCACTATGTGATAGGAATAAAGCATAGTAAAAGTAACAAATATAGAATTTTACCTTTACACTTGTATTCTTGTTTCCAAAAATAAAGCGTCTAGCTCCTTTTTAAAGCTAACCTTTTTGTAATCCCTGACATGCTGGCACAAAATACTGCTGGCATACTCATCTTACTGACACATTGTAAACATTTGTTTACGTCAATAAACTCATACAAACCGACTCTTTCCACACTGTATCCAATCATAAAACTGTTGTAATAGGAAAACTTCAAATACTTTATTTACAATACAATATAAAGAAACTCAAATACATGTCGAACTAAGTACGTGTAATATACGTATACAGTTATATACATATCTTTAATTTTAATTTAACTACTAAATCAGTATTTTGGAGTTAAAACTTATAAGTAGCCTACTGTCTACTATATGAGTTGATGTGGTATTTTTCAATTTTCCTCTACTCTGACAGAAAAAAATGATTGGTTTTTATTACAACAATACTATCAACCTATTTTAGGCTGAATAAAACTGTGATTAGGTTGAAAACTGTTAGTGTAGTACAATATGTACTCTCTATGATTGTTATTAATACTAGATGTTCTGTCCGTTTTTTGCTACGAGGCAAGAATACTTGAGGGATTAATGTTGGTCTCAAGCATCGGTGGACACGGTCATACCGATGATGACGGAGGGTGAGGACAATTGGACCTGTGTGTCACTTTACATCCAGGGTATTCCCCGCACCAAGAAGAAGACATACCTTGACCGGGATGTGGTGTAGGTAATAAAGTACATAAATGCCAGAAACGGTGTGAGCCCTGAGGGCTTAGGTCACATGTTGGCCTGACGAAGTAATGTGACAAACAATTCCAGGTCTGTGTCCAACAGATTAGAGGGGGTTTTTTAGTGAGTAGTCTGATAATTTCAGGAGTCTCACACTACAGGCTGGCTACCTGTGTGCGTAAAAGCATTTTCCCTCCCCTAAAAAAAAACCATTGTTTTACATCATACGAGACGCTGCCGATTCTGTTTATACAGGGTGGTAATAAGGTCCGAAGACAGTTGAATGTTTTCTAAACGGCAACAGATAAATCAATAAGATTTGGTACATCAGCACCACACCTAAAAATCTACTTTTTTAGAACTATAAATTTTCTGTCGTATCATGGGGACGTCAAGGATTCAAGGAGTCAGAAGGAAATTTTTTATAGAAGCATAGGTTGATATGTACATCAAATTAAAGGTCTTTACCAGCATAATATAATGCCACAAATTTGAACTCAAACGGACAACCGAGCCAAGAATGACAGTTGTTCAAAGATTCATTTAATTTGCATTGCTATTATACGCTTACTCCTCAGGGGGCACAGCCCTAGGAATCGGAAGAAAATTGTTAACGTAAGCATAGGTCGATATGCACATCAAATTAAATGTCTTCACTATTAGATTACTATGCCGTAAACTCAAGCTCAAAAGAACGCCTGAGTAAAAAATGGCAGTCGTTCAACGATTCAAAATGGCAAATTCAAGAAATCTTTGAACGGCTGCCATTTTGCGCAGGATCAACCTTTTGAAGTGCGGTTTGCAACATTGTATTCTACTAAAAAAACACCTTTCATTTGATGTGCATATTGACCTATGCTTATATTTAAGATTTTCTTCCAACTCATTGTGGGCCGTCCCCCTGAAGAGTTATTGGATCACAGAATATGTGTTAAAATGAAGTTTTATGCCTTGTAACTTTGTACCAAGTATTGTAGCTCTATATACATTATTATCTTTTTATTTAACTGTCTTCGGACTTTATTACCACCCTGTATGTGCGTAGATACAAGGTTTAAATCATAAAATGGATTCGTCAAAATCTGGCAGTTATATTATAAAATATAAGCCTACATTCTTTTGTTAGGAAATTCTACTTAAGTACAGTATGTTAGTGATCTGAAACAGTGTGATTATAGAAGGCAGTTTTATAGATTCACCATCGATCGCTACAAAGCACCTTAAAATATAGAAGGGTAAGTTAGAAGTGAACTTTCACTAAGAGAAATATGTTGTGAATTGATTGAGAATAATTAATATTTCTACAAACAATCCATGCTGAGTGCCTTTTAATTGTACCTTCTAAATTTAATTGCTTGAAAATAAAATTCAATTTTTAAATTGTAATTGTAATATATTGCAATTATATTACTATAGATTAAATTAATATTTAAATAACTAAAATTTGATAATACCTATACTCTAATACAATAACATTATGATTAAGTAATACTGTTGTTACAATGATAAAAGAAACTTTTACTTCCTTTTTTCTATGAAAGGCAGCTGTTTTACTTTGATATTTATTAAAAAACTAGAAAAGTTTTTGTGAGACTAAATTTAATTGCAAGCACCACATAATCAGGTATGCTTAAAGGTATTAAGGCTAATATTACTATACTTTTTAAATTTTTTTCTATATATAATAATGCACCTCTTACTGAAACCTTATAAGAAATATAAGTGGTATAGTCGTCTTGGTTATCAAGATTTTGCTCTTACTCATATTATTAAGATTTATGAATGACGTCTGAAGGAAAAAACTAATACTATCATTATAGAAAATATTTTAATGTCATTAAACTGGACACACCATTTGTACTCTCCCTTAAAATAGGTTTATGAGTATTTTTTTTTTTTTTATTAGCTTTACTCTGAATAGTATTTAACTTACATATTAAATACTGTATGTGCAAACAACAATTGTTGTTGTGTATGTACGTATGTCAAAAATATGTCGGTAAAAGTTTAGAAAACTCCTCAGTGCATTTGCCTGGAACAATTTCTGTCTTATTCCCGTTTGGATATTGACCTAATATCTACACTGTGGGTTTTAAAAGTTAACATTTTAAGCTTATCAATTGATTTTGTTTCTATGTATACAAGGAGGAAACTATTATATTTACATTTTCTTTGTGTATAATTTACGATTGGTTTTAATTTTACACTTTCAAAGAGTTGGTTGGAGCAAAATAAAAAAAATATGTTCAAAGTCATTGATTAGAGAAAATGTAAAATGTCATAATCAATCGTATGTAATAGATGCTATGGTTATGTGCCACTTTAAAAAGCGTTAAATTATCGGTCTAGTATCCGACGCAAAGAACTGTTTAGCTATTCGTAACAAAAACAAAACACCATACTATGATTCTGAAGTTTGTTTAGATGGTTTAACATTGCTTATTATATACACTATATTTACTTAGCTTTAATGGCTGATCCTGTTGTGAATTAAGAACCTTCAAATTCGTGTGGTATCTAAGGAAGAACTGCCTTGACATATTTTACACTCTGAGGCTATAAGAAATAGGAATGTATTTAATATATTATAATCCAGCATTAGTATCTCTTGTATGAGTATTTTGATCTAATATCTGAAGAGCGAGCTGGTCTAGTGGTTAGAGCGCGGGACCCTGAGGTCCCGGGTTCAAATTCCGCCAAACTGCCAATGGATTTCATCTAAGTGATAATGATCCAACCCCTAGGTCTAGCCTAAAGTAATTTGAAAAAAATTCCGGGCTGGGGCCTGGCGTCTTAGTACAAAAATATTTGATCGGATATCCAATCAAACTTAGGAAGGCTTTTAGATTCATTCGCTCTTAATAGGTAGTGTCTGACTTAAATCCATTCATTCAAACTAGTTCAAACACATTCGATGTTAACACTTACCAGCAATATTCTAGCTAATTTGTAGTTAATTCGTAGCTAAATCATTCGTAGTTTTTTTTTATTTTACTCTCTAATACGTATACATGTAATCAATGAAGTTTTTAAGGTTGAAAATGCAGTATTTATTTTGTTCACATAAGTCTTAAACTAAACAGGAATCAAAAGGTAACAGATAGCAGTAATTTTTGCCAAAACGCCAACATTTTGCAAATCCATATTTCTATTTTATTTATTGAGCACTTACACTGAAAACGTGTTGAAGGGTAAAATAAACTGTACTTATCCGATTTTACATGGA